GTGTGTGTGTGTGTGTGTGTGGTACTAATAATGTGGGTGAAAGAGGGAGGGGCTTTTAATCTGAACAACAACTTAGTCATGCTAGGACGCTAAGGCATCTGAAGGATTGATAGTTGAATTTTCCCAAAATAATATGTGTATGCCTCACAATACCAATAAAGCTTGCCTCCTAAAAGGTTTTCATATCTACTGGTTCAATCTCGCCTAGTAACACATCACGACGCCGTGCATGATCCGGTCTCGAACCCCATTCTAGGTGCTGATAAGAGACGACAACAAGTGAAATTCAGTGGCCTCAGGAGGTATATTTGATTAATTTATGGAAAATTCCGCTACAAGTCTTTGAATAACCCTAAGCCGCCTAAACTGACTCAAGTACTTATTTATCACCTTTTTTCCTTTGAATTATGCCCTACCATTAATGAAGACTGTTGAGCTGTCTTCAACCAGAGAGCTCACTTCCTAAAATAGGCAATTCAATCAAACGATGGTAAAAGTTAATTTCCTTTACGAAGAAGCTTTTGAAAAAACGCAATGAGCTTTTGCTATAAATGCAATTGTTAAAGTGATCAATTTGCAGACCTCTGCTGTAAAAATTGATCAGTACGTGTATACTTGGTTTCGGTTTATAAGTCGGTTTTCGAGATTGCCCGTAAATCAGATTAATGAGACATATTTCGCTTAAGTCAAGTAAGGATTGGTAGCTTATGAGTAGACGTTAAGTTTCCACTGAATTTCGCATAGCCTCGCTTTCCCAAAGGCTGAAGTGGACTGTAGTTTCGACCTCGCCCTGGTCTTATTGACACTCCCAACGGAAGTTAAACCATGACGATGCAGCGTGTAATCTCGTCATGCCGACCACTAAGCCAGATTGTCAAGAGTGACCTTGGGTCACGGTCAGATGTGTATTTCAAGGGAGGCTAGGCATGTTTTCTCATATCACATTTTACACTGGCATTGTCGATTAAGCAAATATATATTTGCTATAGCAATCGAATACATTACTTTTGCAATTAGGTTTTCGCGATTACTAATAAGTCAGATAAATGAAATGCATTTACTCCATTTCGTTTGAGGTGAGGAAGGAAACTGTATGAACACATTGCATATATCTAATTTACTGGTAGTCTCGAAACTCCACATACAAACGAAATTAAGTAATCTAGTCGATTTTCATAGCAAATATAACTTCGCTTCATCAACAATCCCACCAAAGAATGTAATATGGGAAAATTTCTGGCCTTCATCTGTCATGTGACCCAAGGGCATTCGTGGCAATATGGCGTAGTGGTTACCGCTTTGGGATTACACGATAAACTGTCATGATTCGAGTCCCGTTTGGGGTGTTGAGAAGATCTAGACGATGTCAAAGCTGCAATTCACTTCAGTCTGGATGAGAACACCGTTTGGGAAAGCAAGGCCATGTGAAATTCAATGGAAACGTGAGGTTGAGGAGAATTTAGCTACCAGTCCTATTTCACCTTTACGGAAATAGGGTGAAAGCTTCTTATTTATGAACTTGACGCAAGTATTCCATTCTCGTCTATTTAAAAATATGCTGTTTTGGCGCGCGAATTAACTTACAAATAATAAAATTATTAAAAAAAATGAATTAGAATACTAGTTTTCACAAACTAACCATCTTTTTTGATGAACCTACACTCACGGAAAACACAGAATATAGTATAACATAATTTAATATTTGCTCATTAAAAAACAAATGGCAATCGGTGAGCATCAATTTTTAAAGATCCCTATCTATTTTATAGAAATCGAGCAAAATTATATTCAAATTAATCTGCTCAAAATCTACTAAATTATTTTTTTTATTTGAAGAGTTCCATCAAAAATTTCTTTAAATTCTCTTTAAATGAAAGATAAAGTCGATGTGGGCTATAATTGCAATTTTCGAAATTGGTGAACTTGCAGATACCCGCCGTAAAAATGGACCAGTATTCGCAATTTCGTCCCAAAATTTTCATTCCTGACCGCCTGGTTTGGTGCGTCTGTAAGCTGACAACTGATAAAATTACTAAAGAATGAATTTAAATGCTGTTTTCCATAACCATAATTATTCCTAGATTAATCTAAGTCAAAAATATTTGACGAATATCAACTCACCAAAGGTACAGGATAAAGTACCATTGAAAATAATATTTCTTCATTGCAAAACAAGTGGGAATCGTTGAGCATCAATGTTTAGGGATTACTGTTGCATAGATTCCTATCAAAATTCTATTGGCACTAATCTACACAAATCTAAAAAAGTAATTTTCCGTTTATAAGTTTGTTTTCGAGACTATCATTAGCCATCCCTTCTTAGTTCTTCACCCCCTTAAACGAAATGGGGATTTTAGATTAACTCTTCTGCCTATTTCAGACAGTAATTTGAGTTTTCTTAAGACTTGAACCCGCGAATTTTCGACAAGCTTGGAGTCAGTCATTTAATTAGACAAAAGGTTTTCACTTAACATGAATAAAGCTTGTCCTCATATCAGTTGCCGCGATACCAAACCTTGCAGAAGAAGGCTATATTGACTTGAAAACGATACTTTTTAGACAGCGTGTTTCACGAAAAAGTTTACACAAAAATAAATTCAGCACATTCGAACATCTGGAATGGTTGCTGGGCTTGGCATATAAATATTATTGTTGAGCTTACTTTCATTTCGAATGAAAGTTTTTGGTGATGAGACTCGAAGGTCAATCTCACCAGAAAACGATGACAGATTCCTCCCAGCCGACTTTCAATTGTCTTCAATGGAATATTTTTGAGGCGCTATCACCGAGGCAATCTGCTTTGATTTTAGTGACAAACTGCTGATCCGGGTATCATTCTTGCACTCATATTCACGATAACAAGTCACAAAATCGAAGGAAATAGTCCCAAAAGAGCGCCAGCAAGCGTGTGTTTACGTAAAGCCAAATTACGGTTGTCAAGAGGGGAATCAACTGTCTTCTTTTGGTGGGATCGAACTGTGAATCACTTCATCGTATACTTTAATTGGAAATAAAAGTGAGTTTAAATATTATAAAAGAAAGCGATTGCTCGAACCACAGCCAGTCCTTCTTTACTTGGGCGCTTAAACAGTGTCAGCGCAGGTGAGTTATGCGTTCTGAGGGCAGTCTCATTTGTCCACCTCATGCCAGATCAAATAAAAAGAAACCTCTTGTACCCCCAAATTTTCCCTACAATTTGTTCTTATGAGTATCGATATCATTCTTAATTGTACTCTTAACTAAAAACTTAGTTTGCACAGGTCATTTACGGTGATGATTGGATCTAACACTACATATTTTGTTATATGTAGATCTCTCAACACCACTGAATTTTACGAAACCTTATACCCCAAAACATTTTCTAAATCCTGCTGGTCTAGACTGCCGCTTAAACATTGCCGCATCGTCTCTTCGACGCCTCATCGGGACTCGCAATTGAATAATTTGATCAAACTAGCAACAAGTCACAACTACGCCACACAAATACGCGTGCCAGACCTTCCACAATTAAGCTTTTTAGACGGAGTTTCAAGAAAGCATAATTAATTTACCATTCCAACCAGATAAGCAACATCATATCAATTGAGTAGTTTTCTAAACTTTCAAAATTTCTACAATCATCCTTAGGGTGACTTGAGTTCTTAATCATGATTTACTGATAGTTTCGAAACACACTTATCCTCCTTGCAATCTACGTAGACCTGTTTATTGTCACTCTCAGTTGGGTTTCACACTAAAGTCATGCCTGTTTGTCTTCCGGCCAAAAGATGAATGAGAGTTCCATGAAAATGGAACTTTTCGGGGACTATGATCGAATTGAAAATCGGATTTATTAGGAATACAGTAAATTGGCCATAATAATTTGAAGCCATTAATATTGTTTGAATTTGTCACATTGGTACTTTTATAACAAATGTGTGAACTCACTTTATCCCAATCGAGAATGAGGCCTGAAATACCGCAGGGCAATACGAAAAGTTGGCAACCGAATTGGGTCATATTGCCTCGAAGCCCATTTGCGTCAGTCAGACTCAACTTCAGGCAATGGTCGCTGGAGGACGGCTTTTGCCATTCCGTGGCTTCACGACTGGCGGCTGCCATTCCGCTTTGCCATGCTGCATCTTTCGGTACAAGTTGGTGCTGACCCGACGCCCAACCATGCCGTTCTGGCGATCGTCCAAGTCTGGACGACTTAACGGAAAGTGA